GGGGCAGCGGAGTGAGCGGGACCCCGGTGAGGGTGGGGGCAGCGGAGGGAGCGCCAGCTGGGTGTTGGGAATTCAGTCGGGCTTGTGGGAGGGCAGTGGGTGGTGGGATGTACAAGAAGGAGCAGCAGTGTAGTAAGTTGTTGTGGGAGTATGGTGTGAAAGGACAGGGTGCTGGAAGAGGTCAGTGAATAGTGAGGTTTTGTTGTGAGTGGGGAAATGGGATGCGAGGAGAATGCTCTGAGGGAGTGCGGGGTGTTGGTATTGTGGGGGTGGGTACATGATGGCTTGGCTGTATTGTGCATTGATGAAGGGCCCTAAGATTTCCCCTCTCCTTGGCACTGATCCTGCCCTGACATTCCTGTGGAAGGGCACTGATACGGAGACTGGCAGGGAGCTGGATAACCTGGGAAGGATTCTGAAAGACATGATACATTGGATGAGTGAGGAGACTCAAGAATTTCAGGGTGGATTGGCTGCAAGGGCAGGGTAGTTGTTGGTGGCAGAAGAGAGACCATGATCAGGAAGGTGGTTGTACCTGGGCATCCTTTGGTCACTTACAGGATGAGGGTGCTGCTTTTAGATAGCATTTATTGCCCATCTCTAATTGCCCAAAGGGCAGTTGAGAATCAATCACATTGCTGTGGGTCTGGAGTCACATGTCGGCCAGACCAGGTGAGGATAGCAGTTTCCTTCCCTAATGGACATTAGTGAACCAGATGGGTTTTTCCAACAATTCACAATGGATTCACGGTCATCAATAGATTCTTAATTCCAGATATTTATTGAATTCAAATTCCACCATCTGCTATGGCGGGATTCGAACCAAGAACATCATCATGGTCTCCAGGTTAACAGTCCAGCGATAATACCACTAGGCCATTGCTTCCCCTTCTTCAAGTCTGTCCCTTTTGCCATTCGGGTCTGCTGATACCCGCAAATGTGTTACTTATGTTCATGTTCTCCCCTGTTCTCCAGGTTAAAAGTGGATTTACTAACCTCGTTACTGCTTTCTCTTTGGCAGGCATCATGCTATCTGAAGCAAGGCAAGTACAAAGAGGCAGAGACTCTGTACAAGGACATCCTAACTCGTGCTCATGAAAAGGAATTTGGATCAGTCAACGGTACGTTCCAAAAAAAATTCCAAAACATGGGTCCTGGGAACAAAACGTTTATTAAACAAATTGCAAACACTTTAAAAAAAAAACCACCACAAAACCAAATTTCACTAATTCTCTTTCATTCACTCATCATTGAAACCCCTCCCTCTGTCTGACTGTCAAAACTCCTTTTTCTATTGCCCCATTGAAACCCCCCCTCTATCCCTCCATCGAAACCCCTTCCCCTTATTCACTAGCTTTCTGAGCTTTGCTGATGACTGTCTGATGTTTAATGGCATTTCCGTGAAGGGGACAGTATGACATGAGTAGTTTGGTGAAGGGGGAGGTGGGATGAGTGACTGGTGTAGGGAGTACAAGGGGACTGGGTGGGGATGGAACTAGATGCAGTTTGAGGGGCTTTGAGGTTGCTGAGGGTGGGGAAAGGTGGACGCAAATGGTGCAGATGTTGGAGACAAGGAAGGGGATAGTGAGATGTTTGGGAGCGGGGGGCAGATAGGGGAGGGATAGTGAGGTGTTGGGGAGATGGGAGAGGGAATAGCGAGATGTTCGGGGGGAGATGGGGGAGGGGCTGGGGAGATGTTCGGGGATAGTGGGGAAGGGTGTAAGGGTGTTAAGAATGGTGTTTGGTGGGAGCTGTTTGGGGTGAAGGGTGGGTTTTGAGGGTGGGGGCAGGGATGCGCAGGAAGTGGTATAGACGTTGGCAGGTGTAGAGCTGTCTGACACATTCTGGCTGTTTCTAGGTGAGAACAAACCCATCTGGATGCATGCAGAGGAACGTGAAGAGCTCAGCAAGGTGAGTGACACTGTCTCCATCTCCTACCTGTTAATGTCAGTATGGAGTAAACCTGGCTGAATTACTGCAGAGCTCAGTGTTATCAAACCTCTCTGTGTGAGACTTCCTAGCAATTGATACAAGTGAGTGGCTTACTAGGCCATTTCATAGGGCAGTTGAGAATCAGCTACATTGCTGTGGGTCTGGAGTCACATGTAGGCCAGACCAGGTAAGGATGGCAGTTTCCTTCCCTAAAGAGCATTAGTGAACCAGATGGATTTTTCTGACACTGGACACTGGTAGATTCTTAATTCCAGTTTTTTTTAAATTGAATTCAAATTCCATCATTTGCTGTGGCGGGATTCAAACCTAGATCCCCAGGGGGTTAGCTGAGTTTCTGCATTGACAGTCTAGCGATGATACCTCCTCACTTTTTGCAATCAAGCTAAGGCTGAAGTTGGGGAATATGATGCCAGATCCTGGGTCACATAGTACTCTTGAGTTAACAGAAGCTGTATCGCTGTAACGGAATAGCTGTAGGCAGTGGCCGAGAGGAAGATGAAATGTGAAACCTCAGGAACAGGCAGAGTCTCTGCAGCCCCTGAAGCCTGTTCCATCGTCCATTGAGCTCTACTTTATCCCCACACTCTCATGAAGAAAAATCTAGTGATCGCAAATCTAAAATGATCAATTTTTGGAGCATTCCATGGTATTTGAAGAAATCTACAACTTTTGAGATACCAGAGTATACCATGAGCTGATATGTAGCAGTATATATTTACACCTCACCTGTTCCAAGCAGAGACAATCTAACCGTCACTGTGGAGAGAGGTTGTGGTGAAGTTGGGCTGGGTGTCGTCAGTGAATGTGTGAAAACTAATGCTGTGCCTTTGGATGAGGTTTGTGCTGAGAAGTAGGAACGAACTGAGGGGTGTACAATATAACAGGGAGAACTGAGCTGGTCATGAGGCTTCTCATTGGAAATGATCTTCTTCTGTTGCAGGGCAAACACAAGGACAGTGCTCCCTATGCAGAGTATGGTGGCTGGTACAAGGCTTGCAAAGTCAACAGGTAAGCCAGGGCCAATCAGTGCGCAGAACCTGTCTCCAGGGAATGAGGAGGTCAGGGCAAAAGGGTGTGCTGTTTAACCAGAGTGCTTCACATTACCCTGTGATACTCTCATTCCCCAAACCTTTGATTAATGGCTGATAGGAAATATTCAAAGAAGGAAGTCATTTGTGGGAGGTGGTTATGGGCCTCTCCTGTTGTAGAGTGGAATCTCCAGGAAAAGACAATGGGGGCTTGTGACAAATTGCCCAATAATTATCCCGGGTGATTGGAGAAATCAACTTGCCAATGGCAGCCAGGAAAAAAGGTTCATAGTATTTCACTTCCTGAATTAAAGTCTGTATGGTTAGGGGTGAGAAACAGGAGGGGGACAGTGACCTCGTTGGGTATTTATTATAGGCTTCCACATAATGGGGCGGAAGTAGGAGAGAGCGTTTGTAGGCAGGTTACAGAAATCTGCAGGACAGGTAGGGTTGTGATTGTTGTTGATTTCAATTACCCCAGGGTAGACAGGGAAAAAGAGTGTGCATGGAAAGGGAGAAATTCCTTATAATGTATGCAGGAGAATGTTCTGGAACAGTATATTTCTGGTCCTAGCAGGGAGGGGGCTGTGCTGGCTCTGGTCTTAGGAAGTGAGGCAGGCCAAATGGAGAACGTCAGAGTTGGGGAAAAATGATCATAATATAACACAGTTCAATCTTAAGTTGGAAAAGGATAAAAATCAGTCAAAAATTAAGATTCAAGACTGGGAAAGGGCAGATTTTGGGGATCCAATGGTGGAACTGGAGTAGGTTAGTTGGAAACACATTAGGGTAGACAAAAGTATGCATAAAAATGGGAACTTTTCGAAAGGGAGATGAAAAGTGTGAGAGCTAGGTACATACCCATGAGAAATAAATACAGGGTATCCAAAGCTAGAGTACCCTGGATGGCTAAGGATATTGACGAGGAAATAAGGAAGAGAGAGGAGGCATATAATGCATACTAGAATAATAATAGCAACAGAAATCAGGAAGCATACCTGAAATGCAGGAGAGAGGCTGAAGCTGGATTAAGGAAAGCTAAGAGGAGGCATGAGGACATGATGGCAGGCTACGCTAAAACAAACAGTAAAATGTTCTTCAATAAGATTAACAGTAAAATATTACTGAAGGATAGAGTGGGGCCCATAAAGAACAAGCAGGCTAAGCTGCTCACTGAAGCTAAGGGAATGCCAGGTAGTACTAAATTAATACTTTGCTTCCGTCTTTACCCAACTAGAAGAAGGTGAGGATGGCCCAGTTGAAGATGTGGGTGCTGAGGAACTGAGCAGTATAGTGACAGATAAAGGAAAGGGGCAGCACTCCAGGTAGAGAAATTGCCAGGCCCAGATGGGATGCATCCTAGATTGCTGAGAGAGGTAAGGGAGCAAATCACAGAGCTGTTGACAGAAATTTTCTGTCGGGCCTTTCTGAACATAATATTAATCCCTGAGGATTGCAAATGTGACACTGTTGTTTAATGAACGGGCAAAGGATAACCCAGGAAACTGCAGACCTGTCAACTTGCCATCAACAGTGGGAAACCTGCTGGAGGCCAGAATACAGGATTAGAGAAAAATATAATATCGACCCCATATCTCAGGAAGGATGTACTGTCCCTAGAGCGGGTTCAGAGGAGGTTCACGAGAATGGTCCCAGGAATGAAAAGCTTAACATATGAGGAACGTTTGAGGACTCTGGGTCTATACTCAATGGAGTTTAGAAGGATGAGGGGGAATCTAATTGAAACTTACAGAATACTGAATGGCCTGGACAGAGTGGATGTTGGGAAGATGTTTCCATTGGTAGGAGAGTCTAGGACCCAAGGGCACAGTCTTAGGGTAAAGGGAAGACCTTTTAGAACGGAGATTAGGAGAAACTTCTTCAGCTAGAGAGTGGTGAGTCTATGGAATTCACTGCCACAGAAGGCTGTGGAGGCCAGGGCATTGAGTACATTTAAGACAGAGATAGATAGGTTCTTGATTGTCAAGGGTTAGCGGGAGAATGGGGTTGAGGAACTTATCAGCCGTGATTGAATGGTGGAGCAGACTCGATGGGCCGAATGGCATAATTTCTGCTTCTATGTCTTACGGTCTTATAACAACACGGCTTTGTCAAGGGCAGGTCATGTCTGACAAATTTGAGTTCTTTGATGAGGTGACAGACACAGAGGTGACCTGATGTGTTCAAAATGATGAACAAGTTTGACAGGCTAAAGAAGGATATTCTGTTTCCACTAGCTGGTATGTCAGTAACTAGGCGTCACAATTTCAAGGTTGTTAGCAATAGAGCTAGGAATGAGATGAGGAGATACTTCTTTATTCAGAGTTGTTAAGATTTGGAATACGCTGCCTGGGAATGTGCTGGAGATGGATTCCATAGGTTTCAAAAGAGAGCTGGATGTTTATTTGAAAGGGGTGAAGTTAGAGAGCTGGATATATTTGAAAGGGGTGACAGAGCTGCGGAGAATGGGACTAGCTGGTAGATCTTTCAGGAGCTGGTACAGACACGATGGGTCGAATGACCTCCTCTTGTACTGCAAAATTCTTTGACTCTATGGTTGTATTTTCAGGACAGTTTCTTAACATGTTCTCATGCAAACTACAGAACAAAGTGCTCTTGGCCTGGCAGTGATGGCCGGAGCTGTGCCACTCCGGGCCTGGCAGTGACGGAGGTGCTGTGCCGCTCCGGGCCTGGCAGTGACGGAGGTGCTGTACCGCTCCAGGCCTGGCAGTGACGGAGGTGCTGTGCTGCTCCGGGCCTGGCAGTGACGGGGGGGGGGGGCCGTGCCACTCCGGGCCTGGCAGTGACGGGGGGGAAACGTTCTGGATTAATTATTCTAATCCTGATGATAATGAACTGATTTTTGAATAGTACAATCGTAGGAGTCATAATGACGTGATTTACCTTAGCTTTTGGTCTCAGAGAGAGGAGTGTGTGTCTAAACCTAGCACTGCAATTTGAACTGAAATTCATGTGATTGAGTCTGTCTGAAGACTGAGCTGGGGAATTGGGACAAGGGACATACAATGAATGATGTGATATTTCAAAACACTGAGCAAATCTGCAGCTAACGGGACAGAAATTTTCTAGAGGAAGGAGGTAATATTAGCCTGCTGAGTAAAATCGAACCCTTTATCTCAGTCCTACAGTCAACACCACACTGAGAAATCTTGGAGCATTGTACAGACGACAGGGCAAGCTGGAAGCTGCTGAAACTCTTGAGGAATGTGCTACCCGATCCCGCAAACAGGTAATTCACATGTTTCACTGTGTGACAGACCTGTCCCCACCAGTACTGTACCCCAGTGTTATACAGTGACAGACCTGTCCCCCACCGGTACTGTACCCCAGTGTTCTACAGCGACAGACCTGTCCCCACCGGTACTGTACCCCAGTGTTGTACAGCGACAGACCTGTCCCCACCGGTACTGTACCCCAGTGTTCTACAGCGACAGACCTGTCCCCACCGGTACTGTACCCCAGTGTTATACAGCGACTGACCTGTCCCCACCTGTACTGTACCCCAGTGTTATACAGTGACAGACCTGTCCCCACCGGTACTGTACCCCAGTGTTATACAGTGACAGACCTGTCCCCATCAGTACAGTAACACCAGTGTTCTACAGTGACAGACCTGTTCCTACCAGTACTGTACTGGTGGTTTTTGTTGCATTTCCTTTATTATAAATCTTGAGAATTGCTCACCGATTCTGACTTCACTTGAGTTGTGGAAATATCTAAATAGTGTTGAGCTTTTATTTGCTTTGCTAAGAACTGTAGTGAGTCTGTTGACCTGAATTTGTGTGTGTCTCTCTCTCTCTCCCTCTCTCTCTTTCTCCACCGCCCCCACCTTTCTCTCTCTCTCTCTCTCTCTCTCTCTCACTCTCTCCCTCCCCTCTTGCTTCATCTGCCAAGCTGCAGCCTACCACTGTAAGTTTTCAGCTTTTAATTCCTGCGATTCAAAATTAATTGTTGCCATGTGGCTCATTGATTCCAGACTGTGACCTGCTTGTGGCTGCTCTCTCTTCTCTGTCCTGGCAGGGCATCGATCCCATTCACCAGAGCAGGGTGGTGGAGATTCTGAAGGATGGTGAGCCTGCTGATCGGAGGAGGTCCCGTGACAGTGCGGCTGGTCCCCCAGTGAAGTATGAGAGCAGTTCGGAAGGTGGTGAGGAAGTCAGCGTGGCGGTGGAGTGGACTGGGGTGAGTCTGATTCACTGCTGGTTGCTGTTGATCGTTGTTTCCTGTCACTAGCCCACGCTCAGTTATCAGGGGAGCCTTGCTACGAGGATGGAGATGGAAACAGAGCCACATGCCTCATTGCCTTGCTGCATCCCTGCCTACTGTTGGCCCCCAGCCAGCTCAGACCTGCTTGCTGATGGTGGAGCTGGTGAAACCAGTCTGGTTCACAAGGTCAAAGCTCTTCCTGATAGTCTTTCACGCTCAGCCTGCCATCCTTTCAGCAGCACCCCCCACCATCCCCTGTATCTCCAGAATGACAACCTCTTCACTAATGTCACCTTTTTATTGATTCCTCCTCCCTTCAAAACACACTGGCCCAATCACCCTGCTGCTTCTCTGTCTTATGCAACATCTGTTAATAACCTGGAGCAAGAAAGTGAACATGCAGTAGCAAAATTTGCAGATAATAGAAAAATAAATGGAAAGGCAGTTTGCAAGAGGTGTACAAACAGTTTACAGAGAAAGCAAAAACAGAAATTGCTGGAAAAGTTCAGCAGGTCTGGTAGCATCTGCGTAGAAAAAATCAGAGTTAACGTTTTGGGTCCGGTTCTGAACGAACTCGTTCTGAGGAAGGGTCACCGGACCCGAAACGTTAACTCCGATATTTTCTTCACAGATGCTGCCAGACCTGCTGAGCTTTTCCAACAACTTCTGATTTTGTTCCTGATTTCCAGCATCCACAGTTCTTTTGATTTTTAGTTTACAGAGAGATATTGATAGATGTAAGTGGCAAATAATGTATAATGTACACAGGTAATTGGGGGATTTCAAGACGGTTGGAGTATAAGAGTAGTGAAGTCTTAATACAACTGTACAAGGTGCTGGGGAGGCCACATCTGAGAGGACTGAGAGCAGGTTTGGCCCCTTATTGAAGGAAAGATATCATTTCATTGGAGGCAGTTCACAGAATGTTCACTGGGATGATCCCTGGTACGGAGGGACTGTCTTATGAGCAAAGGCTGGAACTGAGCTCACTGGAGTTTGAAGGAATGAGAGGTGATCTCATTGAAACATCTCAGATTCTTAAGGAGGTCGACAGGGTAAATGCTGAGAGAATGTTTCCCCTCATGGGTGGGTCAGGGACCAGAGGGCATAGTCTCAGAATTAAGGGGCACAATTTAAGACTGAGATAAGGGGGAAATTTCCTCTCTGAGGGTTCAGAGTCTTGGGAACTCAATGACACAGAGAGCTGCGGGGGCCAAGTCCTTGTATACGCAGGAGGCTGAGATCGGTTCTTGATAACTTGTGGAATCAAGGGTTACCGGGAAAGAGCAGGAAAGTGGGCGTGAAAGTGTCGGATCTGTCATGATATTGCTAAATGGTGGAGTAGGCTCAGGGGGCCAAATGGCCTCCTCCTGTTCCTATTTCTGATGGTCTCTCTCCCAACCCCACACCTTCTGCTTTCTCTGCATTACCCTCCACCCACTGTCTCTATCCCTCCCTCCGTGGGTATGAAATTAGTGATACTCCTGAGCACTTTCCTCAAAGCCAGGGTCTACCAACACGTCCCCACATTCCCTATGCCACCAGTCTCTCATCATCATCTACCACATTTGTGGGATGTCGACCAGCATTTATTGCCTGTCCCTAGTTGCCCTTGAAAGGTGGGGGTGAGCTGCCTTAAACCGCTGCTGTAGGTAGACCCACAATGCCCTTAAGGAGGGAATTTCAGGATTTTGAACCCGTGACTCTGAAGGAACAGCGATTATATTTCAAAGTAAGTATGGTGAGTGGCTGGGAGGTGAACTTGGTGGTGTTCCCATGTACATGCTGCCCTTGTCCTTCGAAATGGAAGTGGTTGTGGGTTCGGAAGGGCGCTGTCTGGGGAGCTTGGCTGAATTTTTGCAGTGCATCTTGTAGATAGTACACACTGCTGCTACTGAGCGTCGGTGATGGAGGGAGTGGATGCTTGTGGATGTGGTGCCAGTCAAGTGCCCTGCTTTGTCCTGGATGGTGTCAAGATTTTTGAGTGTTGTTGGGGCTGTGTCCATCCAGGCAAGTGGGGAGTATTCCATCACACTCCTGACTTGTGCCTTGTGGACAGGCTTTGGGGAGTCAGAAGCTGAGTTACTTGCTAGAGTATTCCCAGCCTCTGACCTGTTACTGTAGCCACTGTGTTTACATGGTGAGTCTTCTTCAGTTTCTGGTCAATTGCAATCCACAGGAATAAAATCAGAAATTGCTGGACAAGCTGAGTAGGTCTAGTAGCATTTGTGAAGAGAAATAAACAGTTAACGTTTCAGGTTGAGTGACCCTTCCTCAGAACTGATGGTAGCTGGGAAAAGGTTGGTTTATATGCGGAAGATAGGATGGGGAAAGGGAGTAAGGAGTGAACAATAGGTGGAACTAGAGCCCAAAGAACAGTTTAGACAGACAAAAGAGTGGATAATAAACCAGCTAGGAGGGTGTTTAGCTATTAATGGGACTGTTCGTGGCTAACAATGGGTTGTGTGTAATAGCAGACTACGTGATAACAAGGCCTGGTGTGTGGGGAACTGGGCTAAGGACACGGGAGAGCTGAAGCCCTGAGAACAAGCTCAGACAGGAAGTGGAGATCCCTAAGACCATCCTGCTGGGAGATAGACGTGTAAAGGAATTGTAAAATGACACGTCCATGGTAAAGAGAAAGCTGCTAGAGCCTGCAAACTTGGAATTTCTGGCCTGACTGAGCTCATCCTCACCCTGAGCAACTTCTCTTTTAACTCTTCTCATTTTCTTGAGGTCAGAGGGGTGGCCATGGGTCCTCGCATGGGCCCCAGTTAAAGCTGTCTCTTTGTGGTGTATGTGGAACATGCCTTGTTCCAGTCCTATTCCAGCCCCTACCCACAACTGCTTCTCCAATATATTGATGATATCT